TGAGAACAGATCAAATATTATAGCTTTGTGAGGATGTGTGCAGTGGATTTCATTTATTTGATGGGTTAGGGGAATTTTTGGGTCAAAGACATGCCCTATAATGCTCATAGTTTTGATTTGTCTACTTTCTCTTTGAAGAATATCACCATTTATAGGAAATGTCAGTTTAAACTTCCTGGTTTTATGTCCAATCTGGTTTGGAGCTTCTTTTTTTCATAACAGAGAAAATATCGAGCAATGAACCTAAAAATATAGGACAGATTACATTATTCTTGCATTAAAAAAACTATGTTAGATCCTGTGAAGACAATGTTCTTCAGACTATGATGCTATAGTATTAATCGTATTTTCACAATTCATTTTGAGCCATCGTCTCCCCAGCAACTATTTGCATGATGCGTTATGAAGGCACGTAAGCATCTGTTCATAGCTTTTAACTTTTTGCAGCATGTTAGTTGCTTGAAGGCACCTAGTGCGTGAATCCATTACAATGGCATTGACCCAGCCATTGAGTAGAGAAGGGGAACTGCAGGGGATTTGCTGGGATTGCATTAGCTTGGTACTGCTCATCACGTGTTTAACATTACTGTCAGCATCTTGCAACATGACATGAGTGAAAAAAAAATTGCTCACTGTTTGTAGATCTTGGACTGATTTCGAGGATTTAAGGGGAAATGGGTTTTCTGTATTTGTGCTCTTCCCACATCTGCCTCAGATAGAAAGTGAGGAATCCTTAAGACTAAAGTTCAGTTATGTCACTAATGCAGCTGGAACAACACTGAGCCACAGCCGCCCCCCGTGGCTGTGGCTCAGGTGGCCCGCTAATCGTAAGGTTCGATCCCAGGCTCCTCCAGGCAAGATATTGAACCCCAAATTGCTCCCGATGGCTGTTGCTCTGTTTGAATGTGTGTAAATGTTAATTTCTGTTCTGAGCAGTTGGCCTCAGTGTATGAATGAATGTGTATGAGTGGGACGAAATGTGTAAAAGCACTTTGAGTGGACGGAAGATTAGAAAGTACTATATTAGTACTTACCATATACCGTTGTGTGCTGCCACAGCATAACAGTAATAGGGTGTATTAAATACATTTAAGTACACATCCTATTACTCACTATTTTGCAAATTTAGTGAAAGAAAACTATTTCAACTTTGTAGTTTATAGACATGCTGCAATAGTCCAAAGTGGGGTAAGTGGATCCCAAAATGATTCATACTGGGCAAGAAGGCCAGAGAATCTAAAGAGAGCTAAGTCTGATAATCTAATCATTGCTGCTTGCATTAAATACATTGCAATCAAAGAGTTCTGTGCCTTGTAATTAGGCCTCAAACTCAGCCTTTGTCTTAATTTCAAGGTTATGATTGGAGCTCTGACAGAACATGTTCCACCTACTGGGAGCTTTACCTGATTGTCATCCCCTTTTGATTTTGATACTCGTTTCATTTTCTTTTTCAAGGTGACGTGATGACAGCCTTGGCACATGTAATCACTTATTGATGTGTTATCTTTATACTGTGCTTTTGATTGTCTGCATTTTTACGGTATTGTGTTGATGCAATGAGTCAGTGCTATACTGTTTTGGTTTTTGAGTTGAGGGTGAGAATACAAATTTTAGGAAGATGAGTGGATTACATTCACGTTGACTTTCACTTCATTGTATTTCGTAAAGAATAAGGTATTGCACAAAATAACTTAATTCCTGGACATCTAGAGAAATTGCAATTCAGCGCTTTTTGTCTGCATTCTAGTGACAATAAATATGTATAATTAATTCTACCTTTACACACAAATTATACTGCTATAGTATATATCTTCAAAAGGCCATCACTGTCTACTAGCATCTGCTCACCAAATGTAAGTAGTCTTCACCCTTCTGTGACCTGACCAAGGGACCAATACATTTGTGGGACCCTTAAAAGATGGGAAAAGAGGCAAAATGGCACATTTGCCAGTTTCATAGAGGGAGTTTCCAGTAAAGACTTCACCACTACTTTATAGATGTCATCAACTTGCTATGTACTGTGATGTCATCATCAACAGACTTTACATCCATTTGGGCAACTTGGACATATGTCTCTCTCGTCATGAGGACCACCAGGTCCAAGCAACTGGGTTTAGGCTATGATAAAATGTAATTTTTACTAAATTTCCAAGATGACAGAAATAAAGTAACTTTGATCTTTTTAAAGAGGAGATTTTCCTTAAACCATAGTGAGAGTACAAAAGGTGTTAGGGGAAAATCCCGAATCCTAGGTGACTGTGTGAGCAGGAATGTCTGCAGAGAGCCTAATGTTCCTGGGAAGTGACTTTCTGTCCTGCCCTCTCCCATTCTATCAATAATTTGTTAATAAGAAAAAAATGAATCCATAGGTTATTATTTCATGACATACATTTTATATTGTGCTCTTCAATAAGGTAAAGTTCAGTTCACCAAAAACTCAGACCCAATGTGATCAGGTTCATTCAAGGCTTATGAAAACCCAGATATGTAACTCCATGGGAAACAGACCCATGACATCAAGCACATATTTAATAATTTAACAATGACCAAGAGACCTACAGCTACAATATTTATGGTCACAACATACTAGACAAATCCTAAACTGGACATGACTGTTTGTACAAGGTATCACATTTTAAAGAGCTCTATGGACGTTTTTGTTGTGTTTAGATTGAATTCAATTTGCCTGTCAAAGCCAATACACACATATATTTTATATATATTTTTTAACATTGTAATGTAATTTGATTTTAACACCATTACATTTAATGATTTAGGTTTTTTGTTTGTCGTATTATCTCCAGTTCCAATCATGGTTACGGTCCAGTTTCCGTTCCAGTCCATTTAATGACCAGGAGCAGGTGGGCGCCCTGCTGATCCAGTACACTGAGCAACAGGACAGCCAGAGGAGAGAGGCAGACAGGCAGTGCTCGATAAGTCACAATATACCTATCTGTTCTATGCCGTTGGACCCTGACGATCCTGAAGGCAGCAGCTGAAACATGGGTCTCTGGTAATGCTAAAGTCCTGCCTAATGCTGTCTGTAAATGGCAGTAGCTAGTACCCTGTACTCAATTCCAAATCAACCCCAAGTTGTATCCAACTTTAAGACCTTTTTACAGCTCTGAAAGCATAGGATGAAATAAATGCCCCCTCAAAGTATATGTTACTTACTTTGCATATGTCTAGTCACTTTTTTAAGCAATGGAGGTTCATTTAGAATTGGGCTACAGACTCCTCTCCACTAGCAGTACTCTTTGTGCTCCCTAAACTGAGTATAGCCACAACAAGGGTATCTGTGCTCACACACGCCTTACTCCAAACACCTCAGCACCTTAGCCGTGATGAATAAAACTATACTTCCATGTGGATTCTTAACGCCTGCAGTGTTTAGCTTGTTAGCCTTATAGATGACCAATTAATGCCGTCTTAAAGGAACATCTTGTCTCTAATTATGTTGATATATAGTCTATGCTGGTGGACAAACACCACAAATCTACAAAATGGCTTTAAAATTATTCTGACCATTTATTCTGACATGTACCAGTTTGCAGTCCCTTCCAGGCTCCTAATGGTAAACTGTTTGATCAACACTGCAGCTGGGGAAGTTAACATGCTCGCTGAGCTGACAGCATACAATTTGTTATTATGTACATCTTACTGAAAGGAAGCACTACTGCTGACCTGTCAGACGCTACTGGCATTGCATGTACCATTAAAATACACATTAACCAAACAATGGTAATGGTGTCACTAGCAGATACGCAAGACAACTACAGATGTTATACAAACAAAAAATATATATCATTGTTGCACATCACTGCCTATACAGTCTATGCTCACTGCCCATGGAGGAAACATTTGTTTACACCCAGTTGGATACTGTTCTTTCATTCCAGTTTTTACATTTTGTTTCATTTGGTTCCTCTTTGAAGAAAAGTTCAAGCCACCTGCACACTTTGTTCTTTTAGTAATGTGTGCAACAGAATCCAACACCAACCATCCACAGTGGAAGCTCTCTTCTATTTTATCAGGCAGAGAGGACAAAAGGCAAAAAGTACAACAGCCAAACCCTCTGTAGTTTGTCCACTGTCAACTGATGTCAGATAAGCCAGGGGTGGGATTTATTAGTGAATTAGGCTGCTTCAGTTCGCTACAGTGTTGCAGAAAACATTGGTTCTTACTCCAGTATACAGATGTGCAACTAGGAGTAACATAGTTTCAAGTTTCAAAATTGGCAGAATGTTCCTTTTTATAGTAATACACAGCAGGTTAAATTAGGAAGCTACATAGAGTATAGCTGTGTAAAACTAGTTGTAAACTACACATGAATGATCCCTGCTGTTTGAACACTTTAGTCTTCCTGATTTTACTGAAGCTCTGATTTGACTGATTGATCTGACTTTTTATTGTAATAAAGGTGATTTTTGTCATTTCTTATAAATTCATGTGTGCAGTTAATTGTTTAAATTGCACATTAGTGTTTTTGTTTGTTTTATAATAAAATGCAATGATGGAAAAGAATTATGGAAATATTAATAAATCTGTACTATCAACACCATGTGTCTGTGTGGAAGTATTTAAGTGAACAGCCTTAGTCTCATGAACCAGCCTAAGAACTGCATTAAACCCCAGAATAACTTCTCTTGAATTTCATTGATTTGAGAGGTTTCTGGGTTTTACTCAGCAGATCACCTGCTTTTACACCACAAGCCGCTGGGTGCGTAGCTTGAAGGAAAAAAAAACAGAACGTAGTATGTTTGTGAAAGACAGAAATGAGGAACGACTTGTGGTATAATCTAAAGTATTGTTGTTACTGAAGTTTAAGTTCCTGTCAATTTTTGTGGTCAAATTTCTGGAGGGAAAGTCTTATTTTTCATAATGGCTTAGTGGTGTGATGGTGTCTTATTATGTTACTGGAAATTTTAACAAACAAAGAAAACTGTACATTATAAGTGTGTTACTGTCCTTACACCTGAGACATGAGAGCAAACACGATATTAGAAATGAAGACCTTTAACTTTACACTGCATACAAAAAGATGTCTTCACAGGAGGAATCATCTCATATAATTTAGATCAAACTGTATAAGTGAAGTTAAAACAGAATTTAATTTAAAACATATACTTAAGGAAATGTTTAATTTAGATGGTATAGTTGGTGGATGATATTGCTCACCAGTTGAAAACTGGGAAAAATTACTTTGAATAGCTCTTAATCACAGGTACAGTCCAACAATATTCCCATTACAAACCTCTACTACTGTAGGCGTATCTAAATCATTATCACTATTTTTTGTACTTAAGACATCTGCCAATTTTTCCCCATAATGATTACTCCTAATCATTTCATTTTGCCCTGTGCTAATAGGAAACTTCAAGATGAGGTATCAGACCACTGAAAATGATTGGGAGTGCTTCCTTACAACTTTAAAGTACAAAAAATAAGCACCAGTACTACAGTATCAGCATGACCTATATGTGCTTAATTTGACCTTTCATGGTGAGAGTGCTCGTAGGCTTTCCCTATGTGTGTGTAGTCAAGTGTAGTCATGTTTAGACTTCTTTTATACAGTCTATGGTGTAGACTCAGTGAATTCCTGGCAGGACATCCCGAGAGGTGGTCTTTACTCTGTAAATACAAACAGAAAGCATGAAGTCAGACTTTACTGTAAACTTAGCAATATTGAAAAGGAAATTCAGTTGGAATAGGAGACTGTTCAGTGTATTCTGTTTAATTATCAATTAATAATTATCAAGGCCTATTGAATTGAGCCAAATAATTATTATTTCCAGGTCTTTGTTGACAAATGATACAATTACAGAAATACTCTTCATTGTATATGGCATTGGGTACTATATAGGCTATGTAAAAGCAAAATCATCAGTCTACAGCTGCAACAACTATTTTCATTATCAATTAGTCTGCAGATAATTTTCTTGATTAATGGATTCATATGCTCTGAAACCCAAGCTGATGTCTCCAAATTGCTTGTTTTGTTCAATCAACAGTCTACCCCCCCCCCCCCCACACACACACATTATCATTTTACTATCACATTAGACTAAGAACAACAACAACTGAGAAATATAACGTGGCTTTGTTGCTACATAGTCCACTGTGAATCCCCTTTTGATCCTAATGTCAGATATTATTCATATCCATCATAGAGTTCTCTAATTATCCTCCCACTTTCATATTTGACATTATTTTGATATTAGACATAGATAGGCTATAGGAATTAAGTGGAAGTAGGCGTACTTCTACACCATACAGACAGTAAGCTACTGTAGGCTACCTGCGCAATGTCTTTGAGGTTTCACATCACGGAGTGAGTGGGCGTAGGGGGGGCGGATTACCTTGGTCTGGAGCGCAAAAATCCCCCACAGCACAAGGTAACTTGTGACTCTCCGGGTTTATTCAGCGCCCCGCGTCTGCGTAGCTTTTGGCGTGGGCAGCAATTTAACAGCCATCGCTTATGTCAGGCCATTTCTTGTAAATGCCCGCAGTTAGAAGAACACCAACTTCCGGAATGGGGCGGGGCAACTGAAGCTTCAGCGCACTCATTGGTCAGAGTGAGGACGCGTAGTCGAATCACCTCCCACATTTCATTCATAACACGGGACACAATAAACTTGACAGGCATGTGTCGGGGAGACGCTGAACTGACTTGATTGAATCTGACAGTGAACGATCTGTCAACATCACAGGATATCACACACAGGGCCAAGAGCTCAACTGTAAGTGCTATATTACTTTTGATTTCTGTTCTGAAGGGTGAAAGCTGTAGAATGTAAGCCTATCAAATTAAATAAATAGCATAAAGCTGATAAAACAAATACAGCTAATTAAATAAATAATACACAAATAGACTACTTTATATTTTCATGAATTATATCGTCCTCATTTAGGTACAAGTTACCAATCCACAAACAACTTGTCTACATTAAGATGTCAAACACGGGAGGTCGGAGACTGAAACAGTGGCTGGTGGAGCAGATCCAGAGCGGACAGTACTCTGGACTGCAGTGGGAGGATGAAAGCCGCATTTTGTTCCGAATTCCATGGAAACACGCAGGGAAACAGGATTACAACCAAGAAGTAGATGCATCTATTTTCAAGGTTTGACAGCACTCTTGAGTAGTCCCAGGGATACATTGCTATAGAGTTTGATAATAAATCTTCTGTGGCCAAATGGAAATAATTATTTAGACTTATTTTAATGTTATTGTTTTCATTTGTTTTTAGCATACAAAACGTTGAATACATTTATTTAATTTTTAAGTTATAAAAAAAGCTGAAGCCTAATTAAGTCAGTTTTATTGTAATTGTAAATTTGATACATTATGATCCAATGCAGTAAAAATATTTTAATCAGATTTTCTTTCTTCAGTTTCTTCTTGAAACATCTAAGTTTAATCCAGTACAATACCATCTTTAATGTTTGGTTTTTACCTCCACAGGCCTGGGCTGTGTTTAAAGGCAAGTTTAAGGAGGGGGACAAGGCTGAGCCTGCAACATGGAAGACCAGACTCCGCTGTGCTCTGAATAAAAGCCCTGACTTTGAGGAGGTGACCGAAAGGTCACAGCTGGACATCTCTGAGCCCTATAAAGTGTATCGCATTGTACCCGAGGAAGAGCAGAAACGTGAGTTTGTGTTAAACTTTAGTTAAAATCTGTGTCTCTATTATCCAACTGTCCAAAAGCCAGCACTGATGACCTTTAACATACAATTTGTGTAACACTATTTTGCAAACTACTAATTTCCAGTGCAATGTATACTGCAGAATGACATTCCTGGATTCCTCGTGCAATAATTATCAATCATGAAACGAGTTTGGTGGGTAATCACTATGTTTGTACCTGAAGAGAGTCATAATGTCTTCTTCTTTCACCTGCAGATGGCAAAAGCTCAGTGATGGCAATGGCAACTACCACCAGCCCTGGTGATATCACTGACATGGACTGCAGCCCTGCAGAACTAGAGGAGCTCATTAAAGAGGTAAGCACCTGCACGTTGCCTTTATTGCCACTCAGCCCCTTTTATCTGTTTACCACTCTGTGCAGCCTCCTCCAATACATGCATCGAGCATACACGCTCCCACTTGATCTTCATAACTGTGAAATGTACAAAGGTGCTTTGTTGACAACAACTCCTTATATTGTTGTCTTTTTCCAGGAGGAAGGGTGTAGTATTCAGGCCAGTCCAGAATATTGGTCCCAGGGCAGCATAAATGGTAAGACAACCTTTTCTAACCCAGTTTACAAAAAAACCCATAAGCTACTACTTAAATTAAGCTGTTCACACATCAGTCAGTACTGTGGCTATCCAGGCATTTATCTACCTTTACCTCTAGTATCATCTCTCAAGTAGTTAAATGTGAGTTATATTGTTAAAATAACCACAGTGGAAAGCTCAATGGAGTGTCCCTGCAATTGTGGGTGCTAAGTAGAGGTTATTTGCTTTATTCTGTTGAATTCTGCAATGGAAGAATTGACTAACATCCTGTTGAACTTTGCTGACTAAGATGATTATTTCTTTGTGAGATCGTGCTTAGAGAAATGGTATTTCTGCTGATGCAGGAAAATAAAGACATGACAATATGGTCGTGTCCACTGTGTTAAAAAGGCGTCTTAACTTATCTCTTCCTCCTGTCACAGCTTTCCCACTGCACCAGGAGCCTTTGCCATCAGGCACTCTCAGCTCAGGTATTCATTTATGTTTATCCATGTAAGCGTCATAATCACATTAGACCTATAGATAAGCATCAACAGTAATGATAAAAAATATTGATTACAGAGTACTATGTCATTATTTTTGCAACATTTGAAACCAAGCTTACCAAATGTTCTCCTCTCCAGCTCACTCCCAAATGATGATCAGTTTCTACTATGGAGGAAAGCTGATGCACAACACAGTGGTTGCTCATCCTGAAGGCTGCCGGATTTCCCCACAACAACAACACTTGGGTCGTGGCGCCGTATACAGTTCAGATAGCATGCAGAGTGTTCATTTCCCCCCTGCTGAGCTCATTGAGTATGACCGCCAGCGCCATGTCACACGCAAGCTCCTGGGCCACCTGGAGAGAGGTGTACTGGTCCGTGCCAACCAAGAGGGCATTTTCATCAAAAGGCTGTGCCAGAGCCGTGTCTTCTGGAGCGGGCTGGGAGAAGTGGGCTCACAATACAGCCCCATGCCTTGTAAACTTGAGAGGGATGCTGTTGTCAAGATTTTTGACACAGAAAGGTTTCTTCAAGGTGAGCCTCTATGTTTATTCAGTTATGCTAAACACATGCTTAAAGCAAGCAACATCATAAATGAGGATTGATACCTTGCACATACTGCCCAGCTGAACAGCTGTTCATGTACTTTGTATTTTTCAGCTCTACAGCTGTACCAGGAAGGCCAGTTTCCTGCTCCTGACCCAACAGTGACTCTGTGTTTTGGAGAGGAGCTCCATGATCTCAGCAGTGCAAAAGCCAAACTGATCATTGTGCAGGTAAGACCAGTCAAGTTATGTCATTTGAACCTAGAAATCACAGTACTGACACCTTCCCATCACAGAAAAAAATCACTACAAATACTTCCATATGTTGACAATTAAAAAGAACCTTTCTATCTCCTCTCCTATGGCAGATCACTGTAGTGAACTGCCAGCACCTGCTGGAGGCAGTGAACATGCGTCGCTCCCAGCCCTACTGCAACAACCCAAACCTGGAGATGTCTGATAATGTGGCCACTGACCAGATGGCCCGCATCTACCAGGACTTGTGCAGCTACAGCGCACCCCAGAGGCCAGCCTGCTACAGGGACAACATGCCCATCACTGCCTGAACTGCTCACGGTTCAGACAGTTTAGTTCTCAAAACTTTATTTTATTCTGACATGCATTATCTTTTTTGTTTTGATTTAGCAGTTTTGCATTCAGCCTTTATTATAGATAGGTTTTACTATCATATTGTTTTTTTACTGAACTGTAATGAAATGCTTGGATGTACAGTAAAGCATTTTGTTTTTTACTAAACTACACATGTGCTTGTCTTTATATAACCCTATTGTTGTTTTATTCAGTATTCGTTTTTGAATTATTACAATGACCAATACTAAATTGTATGGTAATGGCTAAATTGTGACAGGCACAGGTTAGATTTCTAAATGTTAATATTTCCCATAAAGATCATAGGAAAATGTTTTAGCTAATTAGCTACAAATTACATATGGCTTAAATTGCTGTCGGCTAATTTCCTAAGCATATCATAGCATTTTAGATTTTTGAATATTTAGGCACCATTTCAACCATTATATTTATCTGTATTAAAATCAATGTGGAGAACTTGGCACCATAAAACCCTAATGAAATCAACACAAACCATTGGAGCATGTCAGGTGGGAAAACATTTCAAAACAAGTGATTCAGCAGAGTATGTAGCCAACAGCATATTTTCTGTCTGCTTGTTTCAATGTATTTATATCACGCTTGATGGACGAAACATTCAAATCTACAATACTGTTTTATTGCCGACACCATTACCTGAAATAGAAACTTCTAGATGTCTTATACAGAGATAATTTCCTCCACATTCCCCCCATAATTTAGTTCAAATCATTCAGAATCTTTATGGATATTTTGGAGATCTTATAATTTGAAAAATAACTCTTGTGGTTTGAACAATGCTTGGCTGCACAACATACAAATGTCTGTGGTGTGGAAGATGTAAAGCAGAAATTTCAGAGACTTCATATTGTCTGAGACAAGAATTTGGTAGTAAGTTTCTCAGTTTAAATTGACTGAACATCTTCACTTCAGTCACAACAACAAAGTTGGTGCTTTACTATTGAGTCATTTACTATGAACACAAATTATTCCAACAGTTTAGGAGTAATGAAACTAAAAACACTGTATGAAACTAGGAGGATTTAGGCTACCAAAGGCAGGGAAACTCTCGGACATCCCCTCCCGACCTCCATCTTCCTAATAGGAACAGAAAGGACAGGAAGTGACCAACTGAAGCCAAATGATTCAATTATTCTCAATGAGACAATGATTTCTTCTCCGATGTCTCACACAGTTGGTCACTAAAAACCAGGAGGCATTTGATGGTGTCATCTCATGCGTCAAACAGGTTACATAGTGGCCATTTAGACAGGGAAGTGCATACATGTTTGGAGTTAAGCATTATGTAAGTTTATTCATTTCTATAGTAGATGTCAAAGTGCTTAACAACAACAAAAAGCAAATAAAAAACAGAGCAACAGAAATATACAGATAACCAGTGTTACAAGTTGGCTCCTGCTTGTAACAGAGAGGAAGCTCACGCAAACATAAGCTTAATGGTTTTATTGTACCAACTAGACAAACTTCAAGGCAAATGTGAAAATCAGTATTATCAGGAGTGTCATGAGTGTATGGGTGAGTGTAAAATGTAGTGAGTGCAAAAAGAAAAGCTAAATTAATCAAAACTGAAGAGCTGGCGTGTCCCAGGGGTGGTGCATGGTGCCGTGGGAATCAAAAGAGCAGGCAGAGTTGGCAGCCATCTTAAATACATCTCAACCAGGCTGAACAGGTGAGCCACATCTCCTGACGACCCTGGCCTTGGCTCCGCCCATAAACAGCCTGGAACTCAAACACCAAAACAGCACAACACAACAGACAACCCCAGGGTTTTCACCCCCCCACCCCCACCCCCACCCCCTAAAAAAAAAAGGTTTTTATGGAGTGGTAATTACATTCAAATCTTAAAGTTACAACATAAAATTTTCAGGATAGATCACCTGAAAAATGGCGTCTCTGGATGTTACAATTACCTTATCCGCATAAGTCCTGTTTACCAACTCCCACTCAGCAACTTGGTACCTTAGAAGCAATTTAAGAGATAGGAGAAGAACACTGGAAACAGATGAGAAGAGGAACATAACCATTTTATATTAATGATCTAGACAATGCATCAGCCATAACATTTTCAGAACCTTTAATGTGCTGAACATCAAGATGGAAAGGCTGTGAGAACAGACACCATCTCAACAAACGCTGGTTTGGATTCTGTAACGAATGTAGGAAGGTGAGAGGATTGCGATCCGTGTACACAACTAGAGGCCTACACCCATTACCTATGTACATTTCAAAGTGCTGTAGAGCCCAAATCAACGCAAGTGCCTCCTTCTCTACAACTGAGTAGTTCAACTGGTAGGAGTTCAAGTGGTAGGAGTTAAACTTGCGCGAGAAATAACTGGCCTCTCAATACCAGATGCATCTGTTTGCAGCAACACAGCCCCGGCACCAATATTGCTGGCATCCACTTTGATGTGAAACTGTTCCTTTAGATTTGGGGCTGCAAGCACTGGAGCACAAGAAAGGAGAGCTTTAACATAATCAAAAGCTTTCTGACAACGGTCTGACCAATGAAACTTGACTTTCGGACTCACGAGGTCAGTCAAAGGAGCAACTACTTCCGAGATATTTTCACAGAATCCTTGGTAATAACCTACCATCCCAAGAAATCGGGTGAGCTCTTTCTTTGTACTGGGAGGAGGAAACTTCTCAATGGCCATAACTTTTGCCATTTCAGGTCGCACTTCACCCTGCCCAACCACCTTACCCAGATATGTCACTGTGGCCTTGGCAAACTCACTTTGCCAAATTCACAGTGAGGTTAGCCCAGGCCAGGCGATCAAACAGGGCCTGAATATTCTGCAAATGTTCTGGCCATGTGTCGCTATATACCACCACATCATCTAGATAGACGGCACACCTCTGTAAACCAGAAACTACCCGGTTTATTAAACGTTAGAAGGTGGCAGGTGCATTTCTCAACCCAAATGGCGTGACTGTGTAAGAGTACAACCCTGTAGGTGTAATGAAGGATGCAATTTCCTGAGCCCGTGGTGTCAGTGGGACTTGCCAGTAACCTTTGAGATCAAATTTATTCAGCTTAGCTGAACCAACTTGATCCATGCAAACCTCCATCCGAGGAAGGGGAAAACTGTCTGGCTTGGTTATGGCATTCACTTTACAGAAGTAAGTACAAGATCTAAAAGTCCTGTCTGGCTTACTGACTAACAGACATGGTGAGGCCCAGCTAGAACGTGAGGGTACTGCAATGCCATTCTCTAGCATGTATTTAACCTCTGACTCTAACTGCTCACGTTTCTCAAGAGAAGTTCTGTTTTATAGGTGCAGCTCAATGTCAAGTTTACCCAGACACTTTTTCAACCGACCTTGCGTCATACAGTCAGTGACCTCAAGTTCATCAAGTTTGGCTTCTGGAAGATTAGAGCTGGCTGCGCCACGAGGAACTGCCATAGTGACCGCTTGCACCCTGAATCCAGTTCCTGAAGCAGCACAAGAAAAGTAAGGCATTAACAGGTTTACATGACACATTTGGGTAGCCATCCTTCTATCTGGGGTAGATAATACATAGTTCTGATCTGACACTTTCTGTAGCACATAATAGGGCCCCACAAATTTGGCCTGAAAAGGGGATGAAACCAAAGGCAACTGGGCTAACACTTGGTCACCAGGGCAAAAAAAAAAAATTCTGGTCGTCTGTCATAACCGTTCCATTTTCTTCTGAGAAGACTCAAATTTTGTTCTGGCCATTCTACACGCTTCAAAGAGCCGTCACTTGAAACCATTTACATAACCCAACAGGGGTATAGGGGGAATCAGGTAGTTCCCAATCCCCCTGTAGTACTGCCAGTGGGCCTCGGACATTGTGTCCAAAAACTAGATCATTTTGACTGAAACCAGTACTGGATTGGACAACTTCCCTGGCAGCCAACAACTGCCAAGGTAAACCTTGCCAGTCATGGTTCAACTCAGTGCAGTAGGATCGAAGATTTCAGGGTTTGATGAAACCTGTCAAGAGTCCCCTGGCTCTGTGGATGGTAAGCACTAGAGGTCGCATGTTTCACATGGAGTTGATTCAAAATCTCAAATATCTGTGAAGGGAAATTTGTGCCCTGGTCAGTCTGAATAACTTTAGGAATGCCAAAGATAGAAATAAACTGACTCAAAGCCTTAACCACAGATTTAGCCAAAGGATATGCATCAGGACCGTGTGGACTGACATCACTGTCAACAGATACAAACTTCCACCCTTAGACTTCAAGTGCTGTTTGCAGCACACCTTCTCTCAGCTTGTGTGGTATCACAATTTGAAATATTGCCTCTCCAGCAAAACTTTCACCTTGAGGCAACATTTTCTTACCAACACCCACTCTTGTAGGAAATACCCATGTGCTGCACTGGTCATTTCACTTGCCGGGTGAACCTGAGACAGGAGTTCCTGTAAGGAGGGATCTTGTTGCAGTGAGAAACAGATGGAAGAACAGCCAATGAAACAGCTGCATCCTCCAAATTAACTTTAACCTCCTGTGCTTTACAGGTCTGAGCACAGGTTACTGCACAGGCCAGAAGTACATCAGTTAAGTTCCCCTCAAGTTCTGCAATTTTACTTACCACTGGTATGGATGAAACCACTAGTGAAGGAGGTACCTCAGGCCATACTCTCCCACCAGCCAGGTCATTCCACAAAATGACACTCCTTGCATGGGTAAAGCAGGCTGGACTCCCATAGTCACCTCACCGTGCACTAAATCAGAAGACAGCAAAACCGATGCATAGGAGCAGACAACAGTTGCATACCCATTCCCCTAAACAGCACACAACCCCCCAGTGTCTGTTTCCGAAAAATGGAAAATAGACTCAATAATATAAGAGTCTAAAGTTCCAGTGTCTCTCTGAATCTTAACTGGGATTTTCTTGTTGCTTCCTGACAAAGACACATAACCCTCACATATATAAGGTGCATAACCTGGATCAAATTCTTCTGAACTCAGGTCAAGCCGAGTCTGCATCTCACGTTTCTCTAGACTTGAATCTGAAACTACTGCATCAGCAACTGGTTGTGGATTGGTATGGAGTTTGACAGCAGTGATAACCTCATCTCTATCAGTCCAGTGTGCAGGACCAGCCAGAGCAACAGGCTTGATTCTCCAGCTATTTTGTGTCTTGTTTTTGCTTTAAATACTGGCCCTTTTGACCTGGTGATAAGCCCCCGGCACCAGTTCATATGCTTTTAGCACTGCAGACTTAACTTTACTATAGTCCTCACTTTCAGCTAAGCTGTGAGACAGAAAATGCTTTGTAAGAGCAGTGTCTTTTCTAAATTGGACCATTGTCTTGAGTGACTAAGCCTCTCAAACAACCCAAAAAAAGTATCCACATCACTCTCATTGAATTTTGGTTACAAACTCAAGTTATAAGCTACATCAAAATGTGTCAGGGAAACCCCGGAAGAAGGTGGTGAAAACTTACCCTCTTTAACCAGGTCCCATTGGTAATGTTCTTGTTCTAATTCAGCCTCACGCAACTTTGTAGTTACCTTTAGACGTTCAATCTCCAGGGCTTGCCCGTGAGCACGGAACCGCTCCTTGTGGACACGTACTAGTTCCTCATGCTCCCTGTCTTGCTGGTACTGCAGCAGCATAATTTATTTTTTCTGTTCAAAAGTTAATTCACCAAAGTCGACAGAGGAAAACTTAACCTGCCCTGCGACTGTGGACCAGCGGTGTCTTCTTGGGTGGCCAATACGTCATCTTTTAAACCAGTAGCGACTGCTAATGCTGACAAAACTTCAAGCTGTCCTAACTGGGCCCTTAACATTGTCAACATGACCTCCTTACAACCATGCTTTGGAAGGTCTACTTCATAATACTCAATTTTCAGTAGCTGGTCTTTAGTACACTTAACAATTCCGTACTTGGACATTGTATAAAGTCCTCCACATTAGCCATCTTTTCAACAGAACGACACCAGAACAGTACTCCTCAAACAAGATGGAGACAAAAGGGACCCACTAACCTGATAGCAATTTACCCCATTACTGCCCTGCTAGTATTTACCCCCTACTACTGCCTCACCAACAGCAGACCAAGTAGGGCACACTACCAACAACAACCATGAATAAGCCAGACCAAGTTTTAACCTGGGACAAAGCTATTTAGTTATTGTTTAAACAACCTTTTGGAATACCTCTCCCCTCACCGCCTAACCAACACTAATTCACTATACTCAACCCTAGTCTTCATGCATGCCACGACAGGTGTTTAAACATAAACCCTATGACCCGGTCAAGCCCCAGCAATGCTGTTACTCACCTAGACAGTCATGGACGTGTACCCAAGACAGGCAAAATTTCAGATCGCGTTGATGCACAAAAATTTAAAACAACAAACCAACAAGTCCCCCAAGGGAGACAATGTTGCTTATTCCTACCGGGAGAGGTAACGCTAAAGGTTAATGTCCTCTAAAGGCTTCACACCAGGAAAAAACAAACAAGACAGCTCAGTTAACCTAGTTGGCACAATTTTAACAATTCTGGCTTATTCCCACCCTGGGACACACAAAAACAAACAAACCCATTCATTTGTTTGCCAAACTTCCTCCTGGTTATGGCCTAATTAACACTTTCAGCTAGTCAAACTGAACCCAAGGCCAAAACCCAATTATATGCCATTGTTGAAAACACACCTGTAAACTTCTCACACTATGTCAAGAACAGAACTAACATGCGGACCAACAGGTAACCCAAAACCAACCAAACCAAGTTCATAAATTTACTGGTGCCGTGGGAATCAAAAGAACGAGAGAGTGGGCAGAGTTGGCAGCCATCTTAAATACATCTCAGCCAGGCTGAACAGGTGAGCCACATCTCATCTCACCTGGAACTCAAACACCAAACCAGCGCAACACAACAGATAACCCCAGGGTTGTCACACCAGAGGGCTGTTTCCCAAAACCAGGATAGTGGATTAAGCCGGGATTTTCCAGATATCCTGGCTGAATTAAGCCTTGACTTGGTTTCACGAAAGCAGTAGCACATAAATTACCATGGTGATTTATTCTGTGCAGCTAGCCTGCTCCAGACCGGGCTAACAGCCAGGCTTAGTTCATCCTGGTGCCGTATCTGTTCAGTCAGCGGTCACGCCGATCAGAAACCAGAGTGTTTTTTTCAGTCATTCCATGTTCTTATGTAGGCAGTTTGTGGTTACAAGGTTTCGTAATTGGAGAAGATGCGTGCACCATACTTTGCACACAATGAGCATCAGCGAGTAGGTTTATGTGGAATGAAAGCACTTGTAAAGAAAAATGATAAATAAAAAAGAAAGTAACACGGGTACAGCAATAAACCATTGAAAGAAAGTGTGGCAGCCTATAGTGGACCGACTGAATGTGTGAGAAGCTAAAAATATCGCAGCTCTTAAATGAAACTGTCATAATTATGTTATATTGTGCCTTAAAAGTGAGCCCCGGACATTATTTGTCACTCAAAAAACTCACACACACTATGATTCCTATGTCATTTTATACTAGTCTCAAATTATAGTCCCACTTCAATAATGGGATCATCTGCTGCAAGTTTGGGAGAGAAAACAATGATCAGTACATTGTGCTCACAGTGTGCTTTGCAATAATCTCTTCTCTTTGTAGGTGCTGGATTTCCAATTTCCTCAGTGCCTCTTTTTATCTCCATATCTAAGTCCAAGTCCTGTTTTTTAATTTGTTAAGTTTTTCAAGTGTGTGTAGTTCAGACATCTGACAGTTTATAAAGAATAAATCTATTAGCACAGTGTTCACCTCTGAATGTGCTTATACTTACTACATTGGCAGACTGGCTGTCAGAGTGTAGGACTACAGCCTCAGGGTCAAGTTACAGATATCATACAGTATTTTCTGTGAGCACCTCATCACTGACTTATTATCTATTATCTATACTGACTAAACAAGTACACCATTTTCACACAAAACTGACATACCTCCAGCCTCTCTGCCTAGGACTACTACATATATATACACTTTTTAAAAGCATTTGTTAAAAATGTTGCTTGCAAAGAAAAATGTTAAATAACTGAAAATGCTTTAAGAAAGGTTTATTTGCGCAATAAGAAAACATGCAATGTAATGTAAACATAGAAGAAACATTGTCCAAAAAGTTTCTGAGTACCGCATTATATTTGTATATTTTGAATTGTCACCTGCCAGTTGAATTTTGTGTTTCCTTTAAGTGTTTAATGTTCAAAAACATCTGGGAGAGGACCGCCAGACTCCCCAATCATATATCTCAGCATTGAATATTACTTCAAAATGGGGTTAAATGGGTAATACTGTGAGGAAAAGAAATACTTTTGTTGTGAACTGCTGCTATATAAATAAAATTGAATTGAATAGATAGTATGTTGATTAGTGGTTGTAATTAATACTTGCTATTTTGGTGAGTGACATATTAACGTCCACAGCACTCTTTTAAGGTATGACATATAACATTACCATTCACGGTAACATTATAATTATGACTGTTTCAGTTAGGAGCAGTGATACTTTTAGCTACTTACTTATTAAGTCGGTCCTCTATTGTCTACCACGCTTTTTATCGCTGTTTTAATACTGTGGCCGTGTTTCTTATATATTTATTTTAATATCATGTGCATTTTTTCATCAAAAATCTTCTTTACACACAGTGAGTAACAGCAAATTATTGGCCTTTGAGAAACTGATAAAGTCAGAATCCACTGATCACACTAGGTCACACTAGCCTTTTCTCTTATCCTGGATTTCTAAATTCTGCTTTTGTGAAACAGCCCTCAGCTAAAGACAAAGGGACAAAATAAACACAAGTAATACAAAAGCAACTCTTAACAGATAGGCCTTGAGCTGCTTTTTACAGTTTTTTTCAATTGCTGAGATGCAATGGTTAAAACTGAAGCCACTTTTTCAAAACTCTTCACACAGTCTGCATTACTAACACGCATCTTGGCCAAACAGTAAATCTCACCTCCAAAAGTCACTCAAACCCCCAAAACACTTCATACCAGTCTCAAAATAAACTCGTTCAACCAAAATACTGGCAACAATTCTCACTCAGAAAGCATCTATTGTCACTCATAACACACTGACCTACAAAACACAACAGAAAGCATTACGTAAATCTGTTGAACTTTTATCCTTGAAATGTCACTGATATTTTCAGTATTTCATTATAGAATACAGTTGTTTTCAGTCACTTTGATACATTTCTACGATCAGAATTGAAATTCTACTTTTTCAACCTCCACATCATCTAGTCGCTTGTGCACATCATATGTAAAAGCAATTTCTCAGTCTTTTCTCAGCAAATTATTATGTACATTTGTCTGCTGTTTCCTACATTATCAATTGCTTACTGTATGTCATTGCATAAGTCACTACATGCAAAATGATTGAACACGTAATAATCTGCATTTTCCTACATATGTCTATTAGGCTTGAAAAAGTACAGCCTTGTGCATTTTCAATCATTCATCAAAAGTTTAGCCATAGTTTACCAATACAAATAGTTTTCCAAATGTACCAAAGCGACTGAGAAAAAATGGAAGAAACCTGTAACATATTTTCACTTTATTGACTGTACTATAGTATATGTTACAAGAATGAATCAGAACTACATTCAGTAATTTACTTGTGAAAAAAAGAAGTTCCTGACATTTCAGTGCTGCAATACACTTTTTTTCAGTTGTGATGACCACTGACCACAGTCTGTAATTGATGCACCATCCCCTTGAACCAATTCTGCTAAAATAAAAGCACATTTCTTGCTTCACACTCAACTTGCAATTTTACAGTAAAACCACATATTTCTATAAAACATAAAATGGATGTAAATGTTCTGCAAAGATTTTCTATATATATCTGTCCAGCCACAGCAAAAATGCAGGAAATTTGCAAACATTTTGTTTTGAATGTGTTTTTAACAGTTTTGGACACAGTGTGTTAGCATTTGAAAAATGTGCTGCAGATATACAGTGTTTTGCAGGTGGTGAAGTAGTAATGAGAAAAGAGTTCATGAATTTTGGAGAAAGGGGTCATTGAATGCATTTTGTGTGAAAGCAATGAAAAATGATTCATGGTCCACATACAGTTCTGTTGCGCTGACTGTGTGAAGAGTTTTGACAATGTGACTTCAGGTTTGACCAATGCAGGTTAGCAATTGAAAAAAACTGTAAAGACTTCCACAGTGTCCAATGGGAGAGAGAGGAAAAACGAACAAACTCTGATCAGAGGACCTCAGATTCCTACTATTCCTAAAGCAACATTATGTAAGATTTGTTTTTTTAGTGTGATTTTGCATCATAAATAATGCCACCTGTACACATGCATTTGTTATGATTACATTATGATGTACAAAAGCTATTTATTTCCACAATTTTGCTAACACAGCCAAATATCAAGCAAGTGCGACAACACAAGACATAGCTAGATTACTTACTAGTCCTGGGCAAGCAAGCAACATAACCAGGCTCAGCAGCCTCTATGGACATAACGGAATGGAAGTGGCAAAGAGACCGGAGAGGACGTTGACGTTAAAAGCTGAGACAAGAAACAGAGAGTGACCATGCAAGAGGCTGGGTGGCAAGCCAGCCAACAAAACCAGACATCAACCGATGCAAGAGCACTTACAGTAATGTTACCTTTCTGAGTATGTTATTTAGTAAGTTTGCCAACATCAACTTGACATTTATAGCTTGTGGCTAAACCTCTGTCTCTGAAATCTCTGGCTGAGTTTGCTCAAGTCAACAACTTATTCCGACAAAGTCTTCTTCAGTCTCTTCTCAGCTTCTGCCATGATATCCATACTGAGAATACCGAGCTAGCTTCATTCAAAGCACTTACAAAGTACTGTACTATAAACTTTTCGCTCGTTCTTGTAGCTTGCTTGCTGAAGAGTCATGTTGGTGCAGTGAAGTATTACACCGTTATCGTGATAAATGTCCTGCCTGGGATTACAGTGTTACACAGTGCAGTAGCTGGTGCAGTGAGTACTCATGGGCATTGACAGAGACGCCATTCACCCTAATACAAATCAGTGTACCATCAGTATTATTTTGAAGCTGTTATTTTGTTATTTCTGTTTTGTCAGTATTTAACTGTAGAAATGTCTCTGCTATTCAGTATTTAATAGAGTTGAGACAATTCAGTAGAACAGACAGTTTTGAAACATTTTGTGGCTGACGTACTGCTGACGTATTGCGGTAAGCGTGTCGACTCATTTCCGTTTCCGGTGCTTGTGTGTTGGTACCGTGTTGCGCTGCTCTCGCTAAATAACAGTTACATTTGTTTGATTACAGCGGCCAACTGTCCGCTAAACACTTATTCTTTACAGTAATTTTGCCTAAGCAATCACACTTCTTTCCATATTTTAGTGACTGCTGTTCAATCTCATAGTTGTTCTAAAGTTTTGGTAACTGACGCTACAGTACTTTAGCTTAGCCATTAGCGACTTTAGCTTAGCAGCTAACGATGGCTTCTCCTCC